GGAAACCTGTTTACTTGGCCGTTGCCCTTGACCAACTCCCGTCTCCGACATCAAACCCAAACCACCACCGTGACCACCCCCATCTCTCATACAACCTTTAAAACTCTGCCCATCCCAACACTTGCTCATCTTCTCCACCACAAACAACACCTCTCGACCTTCTCCTCGACCACCACCACCCACGCTTCCACATCGCTGCCTACACCGTCAACATGACGCTCTACTTCAGCCTCGTATGTGCCTCGCGCAAATGAAGAAGAAGAAGGAGAAGAAGAAGAAGAAGAATTATGGCTGACAGTCGCAGGTCTTTGCCCTTCTCGTTTTCGAGATGGTCGTTTTCACGGCCCTCATCATCCCTCTCCCGTTCAAGGTCCGCCGCAAGCTCTTCAACTTCATATCGGAGAGCCCTATCATCGCCAAACTCCAATATGGCATGAAGGTACATCATCATGAACACCCTTTCCCACGATTCAATGCTAAACACACGTACAGATTACCTTCATATTCATCCTCATCCTCTTCCTTGACTCTGTCAACCGCGTCTTCCGTGTTCAGCAAGAGTTGTCGGCCGCAACCAAGGCCGAAGGTGCTGGACGGTAAGATTGTCCAGCTACAATCATCTTGAATCAAACTGACACATCGCAGTGCATCTGTTCTCGGAGGCGGTGAGCGCATGGAAGTCCAGGCCCGCAAGTTCTACTCGCAGCGAAACATGTACCTTTGCGGCTTCACCCTTTTCCTCTCCCTCATCCTCAACCGTACCTACGTCATGATGCTTGATATTCTCCGCCTTGACGAGGAGCTGAAGGAGTACAAGGGTGAAGCTGGTGGCAAGGAGGGCAAGAAGCTCGGCAACGCTGGAAATGCTGGCGAAATTGGCAAGCTGAAGAAGGAGCTTGAAGCCAAGGATAGGGACATTGCTGCCTTGAAGAAGCAGGCCGAGGGTCTCAGCAATGAGTACAATCGTCTGGGCGATCAAGTCTCGCCTGCCGACAATACCCCCAAGAAGGACCGGTAAACAGGATCGAGGGACTAGCGAAGCGCGGCTCCTAAAACATTCATCTCCACCGACTTCATTCACTTGAAGTATAACAGGGTGTAATTCGGAAAGCCGTACGAAGCTTCCTCTTCCGACTACAAACTGAGTGTCGAGTAGTGACTAGTCCAGCAAGCCATTGAACAGGATTGAGTCGGAGATTGGAGAGAAGAGAGAAGGGCTCTTGAGCGGGATTGATGGTATATTTGGGGTTTCCTTACATCAGCATGGCCCGGCGTGGTTCTTTAAAATCAGGTAGCTTTATGAACTATGTTGCATCCCATTGACATTTCAATGTGCGGTTTCGTCCTGAATCATCCAGTCCAAAGCGTCTGCCAAGACCCCGGCAGCTCGAATCAGCTGGAGATTCGGAAACGCATCACTTTCTTCCGCTCAGCATTGACTTTCATGGCTGTGGTACCCCTCTGACGTTTTCCCTATCCAACCTTAACATACGTTGGTTCGCGCGCTTGCTCCGGTTTTATAACTGAATTGCCGATCATGGCAACGTCGTCTTCCCCTGCATTCTACAACTACCCGGAGCCAAAACATCTCGAAGTCCCCTACACCCCACCCAAAGCTGCCAATAACCCAAGTCTGAATGGCTGGCCATTGACATTTGCCGCATCCCTGGCGGGGTCTTTCTCTTTCGTCTCTGCGTATCTATACAAGCAGAATGGCTTTGGAGTTTTGCATGAGCTGAAAGAGTTGGTCGACGTCGAGCCCCGTTATGATCCCACCGTTATACCTGTAGTTGCGGGCGAAACCTCTCTGGCCAACTATACTACCGCCGAATCTCTGCGAGCACCTGCACAGGATGTCAAAGGACGATTCTACTCCATCGCCGATTACCACGAAGCGTTCAAGAGTGGCAAGCTGACTCCCACCGCCCTCGTCGAAGCTCTGCTCCCCCTGATCCGCCGCGACGTGGACAAGCCTACCAAACACTCCATCGCCTTCCTCGAAACCAAGATTGAGCTGGTCAAGAAAGCGGCAGAAGAATCTACCCAGCGGTACAAAGAGGGGAAGCCGCTTGGTGTGCTGGACGGCATTCCCATTGGTGTAAAAGATGAGGTGGACCTGAAAGGCCACAAGAAGTGCTATGGATCGAAGAAAGATTTCACAAGGGCGGACAATGCCACCAGCTGGTGTGTCGCACAGTGGGGAGAGCATGGCGTGATCAATATGGGCAAATTGACCATGCATGAGCTTGGGATGGATACTACAAACAACAATCCCACGTACGGCACCCCGAAGAACCCATATAACCCCAATTACTACACTGGAGGCTCCTCAGGCGGCAGCGCGTATGCTGTAGGAGCTGGCCTTCTTCCATTTGCTCTCGGAGCCGATGGCGGTGGCAGCATCCGGATTCCCTCCTCATACTGTGGCATCTTCGGTCTCAAGCCGACTCATGGTCGTGTCTCGGGGCGTCCGACACCCAGTCTGGCTGTCTCCGTCGGTGTTCTCGGACCCATGGCTGCAAACATGACGGACTTGGAAATCGCGTATCGAGTGATGGCGACTCCTGATCCGTCTCATCCCTCGTCATCCCTCTTTCCTCCCCCGAATCCGACAATCTCCCCTCCATCGACCTCCCGGAAGAAGCTCTTAGGTATTTGCCGGCACTGGCTCGCGCGCGCAGACCCCGCCGTGCAATCCAGCGCGCAAAAAGCCATTGACTACTACACATCCAAACTCGGCTACGAAGCCGTCGAAATCACCGTCCCCTTCATCCGCGAGACCCAGCTCGCCCACGCCATGACCTGCCTCTCCGAGTTTGCCACGAACCTCGCCAACGATCAAAGTTTCCTCACGGCGCCGACTCGTCTCCTCGTCGGCGTCGGTAGCGCATGTCCCTCGCGCGACTTCCTGCAAGCGCAGAAGCTGCGCCATCGCCTCATGCAGCACATGGCGGCGCTCTTCAAAGAACATCCTGGGCTCATCATCGTGACACCCACGACGCCGCAGGTCGGCGCGCATATTACGAGTGGGGACAAGGATTTGAAGGTCGGGGTTACCGATGGCGATCAGAGCGTTAGGAGCATGGAGTATGTGTGGATGGCCAACTTTTTGGGACTGCCGAGTTTGAGTATGCCCGTCGGGTATGCGGAGGCGGTTGATGGACCGGACGTGCCGATTGGACTTATGGGGGCTGCGGAGTGGGGGGAGGAGGATGCGTTGATTGAGTGGGGTTTTGATGGGGAGGGGTATTTGAATGAGGGACTGGAGGGAGGGAGGAGGAGGCCGGAGATTTGGGTGGATGTTATGGGGTTGGCGGATGGGAAGGGGGAAGGGGCTTAGATTTGAGTGCGAATCTTTGACTTGTCTCGGTCTGTGTGAAGGACAGACCTCAGTTAATAGGCTCGGTTTCATATTTTGTAGATTCTTGTAAATCTACGGTTGTTTGCGAAGCCAGTGTTGCTTTCCCACAGAATACAGTGCTCTAGGAAGCGTCCAAATTCTCATCGCAATCGCTGAATTGTTCCTGTCGCTACACAGTCAGAACTACGACTATAACATTTTCATACTAGGAGCTTCGCAGCTGTTTTCGAAAGTAGTAGTAAATTTTTAAAAAGTAGAACAAAAATAGGGTATTGTGGTAGGAACCACACAACACTGAAGTAGGCATGTAGGGGGTGTATGGTGTGAATGGCGTGAATGGGCCGGGAGCACTGGAGAGCGCGAGGAAAGGTCGAGAGACAGCTCGAAGTATCACGTCGACTCTGGATACCTATCCAAATCGCGTTTCGCGGATGGACGGCTGAAAAAGAGTCGAAGCCTCAAATCTAACTAAAAAAACAGCTCGTGGGATTCCTAAAATCATTGGAAACTTGACTGGCAGCCAATCAACAGAAAGAATCATTTTCTGTCGGGAAACCTTTCTACGCATAGAAGTTGATAGTGGCTAGACACACGCGAATCACTTGACACAAAGCTCGCCGCTGTCGATGGTGACAGTGGAGCCTCTGTATGTCTTTGGATTCGTGTTGGCTGTCTTGATTCTTCTCCAAAGGAGGGACTATCGAAGTGTATCTACAAAGGACTAGGAGAGTGACGTGGCAAGTGCTGGGTGCTCTCACCAGGATCACCATGCATTGTAATACACGTGACTTTTGGTTGAATAGTTACCGACATTTTCTTAATTTTTATTCTTGATATAGGGTATCGTTATAGGAGAGAAAAACTGATGTTTGATCTACTGCTACGGTAAAGTCGTACTTTTATTCCTCTACATTTTCTCAGCTTTTCGAGTTGGAGATGAAATATTTTATAGTTAAGTCCTAAAAATAGGGTCCTACTAAGGTTCTCCTAGATATGTCTCAACCTCCTCATTTTGGTATCTTTGAGAGAAGCGAAGAAGATGGTAGGATAATGGAATAAGGACTGGCTTTGATAGTTCTGGTTCTTGATCTGCCCCATCTCTCAGGAATTGATTATTGTTGTCTGCTTGAATCTGCCTCGTTTGAGCCTTTTCCTGAACTTTTAAACAACCTTTAGCACAACCTCTTTGTTTGGTTTTGCGATGGGCGAGGGTACAAATCCCTTGCACACCAAAGCAATGATAAACTCTGGTACTTTGCTTCCAAGTCCTACCTACGTAACACAGTGCCTGTCCTTGCAAATTCAAAACAAAATACGCACTTGGTTCACTCTAGAAGCATCTACCTACCTGAATGGCTGGGAGGTTTCATTAGGGAACTGGAAGGGCTTCTGTTCAACCTGGAAGGAGCGACGTGTGGCCGACGAATTTCCACACCCCTTGTAGCATGCTCAGTGTGAGCGCCAATGCTATGAAGGAAGAAGCGAACCCAATATGATACTGAAGGTTTCTAGGCCCCTTTCACATTTGTGCAGGTGAAAACGATCCTAAACACCCATTTTGAGGGCTTTAAAAGCATTTCCCATTAAATTCAGAGAGGGAAGGAAAAAAAAATGTAAAAAAAAATGCAAAAATTCAACTTGCATCAGCCGTGAATCGAACACGGGGCCCGTCGAAGATGCGTTGGCAACGACGGATTTTACCACTAAACCACTGATGCTTTGATGGAGGAAAGGCAATCAACGTTGTTTATAAAGGCAAAACGTGTTATTGAGTGTAAAGCAGGGGATATCGACGAGCGGAGGCGGTAGACGTGAAAAGTAGCGCAGGGTTGATGCTTGGAAAAACTCAAAGATGTCACGGACACGATCAGAGATTTAAGCTGTTACGCGAGAAATATTGGAAGTGTTGTTTTTTCTGCCGTTAACGGGCTAAAATTGTCATGTGACTCTGTTGCGGTTGGTGGGAAAGCCTTGGCAAGAACAGAATATTCCAAATACTCAGGCATCTCCAGGAATGGGTGTAAAAGGCCAACTACGGATTTTGTTGCTTGCGAACATCTCCATACGTACTCTCTACCCGCTGAGCATCAACTGGATTTCTGGCGAAGAATTGAAGATTTTCACATCCCCATGGAGTTTATGGCAAGTGCAAAAGCTCACAGAAAAGCGAAGTCCCAATACATATGATCATGGACTTCTACCAATCACAATCGGCCGATTCTTAAGAGACTTTTGGATTACTCCCAAAGGCTCCTAGAAATTATGGATTTAACTCGTCCTCTGGAGAGTAGACTGTCTGGAGAATCATTGCAAACCCCTTGGAGTTTTGGTAGGTTCTTCCCGAAGGCCACCATCATCATAGTTGGCTGGCGTAAGAGTAATTCAAAACAAGAAAGTCGACAACAAACGACAAGCTGGAAGTCCAACCTCGAAACCTTATCCATTGTAATAGAACTGAATTGAGAAGAAACCTTCGAATTACTCCCAGTGTCTATAGGAATAGTTCTGACCAAATCAGATCACTTCCATCCACAGACTCCAACTTCACAACTTCGAACTTCTTGTCCTCTTCAGCTTTTACCCAATGTGGAACTCCCATACTCGCAAACCATTTGGAAGCACATCCAGAGTGGGTAGAGTTCGTACCATGACGTGCCACAGCACTGACGTATCCGTACCATTCAAACTGCAAACCACACCAAGCTACAAAACTCCCGCCGAGATGATGCAAGATGGGAATCAGCACAGGGCTCAAAACAGAAAAGCAGAAGAAGAAATCTTCGGCTGGCGGCTCCCCGGAAAGTCGGCGGAGCGCACTCCGACAGGGCGCTTTGTCCAGCCGTGCGAATGGGAAGCGCAAAACGGTTCCAAAACCCTCACAACGACCCGAATTTGGACAAGTTGCTTTGCTAAGTGGCTGCGAGATCAACTCAAAAGGCCGAATCAGGCCAACGAAGATCGATCGGAAAGCTTGTCCCGCTGTTACGCCAAGCCGAGCTACAATCTGTCAAGCGAACCTGCCGAAGCGCTAACCACAACAACGCCGCTCCAAGACTCCCAAAGACGCAGAATTTCAAAAGCCGATTCGAAGATCTCCATGTTGCCGACGCGGCTTTTGAGAGTTGGATGGGACCCGATGAGCTGCCACGGCTTCTATCACGAATCTGTGGTTGCCACGGCTTTGCCAGAGACTTGCTACTCGTCGGAACACGCAGATCGCAGCGCCCGGTCAGTCGAAATTATGATGCAAAGGGGATGGAAAAGCAAAGACGGCTCTTGCGTCGACGAGGTCATGGGCTTGGGTCCTGATGGAGAAATCGTATTTGAGTCTTGAAAGCGAATTGTTTCTTCAGCATCTTCTTTAACATCGATCTTGTTTCTTCAAGATTTCCCCTGTCAGATTCTCTCCCCAATTTTCTATATCCTGAATCCTGCCCGCGATCATTACTCTGAACAGTCATTTCTCTTTGGGTCGCGAAAATGCTGATAAGAATACCCTCTTTGGTGGCAATCTGGACAGCATGGCAAGCGTTTAGTTCCTGCAGCGTGCTGGCGTCTCCTATCCATCATCATTCGAAACGCGCTGAACTGGAATCAACGTACGATTTTGTCATTGTTGGAGGTAATACTTGTCCGAACACAGAAAAGAACCCAGAAGCTAATTTGGGGCAACTAGGTGGAACTGCTGGACTGGTTCTTGCGAATCGACTGAGCGAAGTTTCGCAGTACTCCGTGCTGATTCTGGAAGCAGGGCAATCTCCTGAAGTGGTCTCCGCATATTCAACTCCAGGAGCGAGCCAGGCAGTTTTGGGTGCGTACCTCTAGGTACTTTTGTTATTGGATGGGTACTGATCGTTACAAAGGGACAACCTTGGATTGGGCGTTTGTGACACCTCCCCAGGCATCACTGAATAACCGCACAATTACCTATCACCGTAAGCTTCCCTCAACTTGTTCCAAGACTGCATTCTAAATTTCGATCATTAGGAGGGCGCGGTGTCGGAGGAAGCTCGCTCATTAATGGCTTGACATACGGCCGAGGCTCTTCCAGCATATATGATCTATGGGCACGTCTGGGTAACGATGGGTGGAGCTGGAGCGACGTTCTTCCACTCTTCAAAAAGGTCAGTCCGCGCGAATGGATTTAGAAGGCACGTATAACTGACTACAGTAGAGCACCTCTTTCGATTCACTGCACGTAGCACCATACCAGACCAGCAACTCCAGCGCGTACTCTACGGATGGGCCATTGAAACTTTCGTATCCTCAATACGTCTATACCGCGTCAACAGCCTTCATCGAATCGCTTCGAGCCATTGCCGTCCCCACCGTGACAGAACTCAATCTGGGCAACAACATTGGCGCTAAGCAAGAGCCATTGACACAGGATGCTTCCCAGAAGCGATCAACTGCGTATAACGCTTATTACAAACCTGTCCGCAATCGGACGAATCTCTTCCTCGCCGCGAATGCTCCCGTGCGACAAATCAACTTTCAGAAACTCAACGGATCAGTCACCGCTACGGGTGTTGTTGCAACAGACCAGTGGACTGGAGAGACGTTCAACGTAACCGCACGCAAAGAGGTCATACTCAGTGCCGGAACATTCCAATCTCCTCAGATTCTCATGCTCTCTGGTATTGGGCCGCAAGAGACACTTGATCAGTACGGCATACCGGCGTATTTGATCAATGAGAACGTCGGCCAACAGTAAGATTGCCCACATTCCATACAACGGGACATATTAGCTGATAGATTTTTCCGCAGTATGCAAGACCACACATACTTTAGTGTCATCGCCAAATCACAGCCGGAGCAATCCGCGGCGCAAGTGTATAACCGAATCGATCTCCTCCAGGCCGCCGAAGCGGAATATACCGCCAACATGTCTGGACCTATGACGACTCCAATCGGGCCAACATACGGCTTTGAGCGGATACCAGAGGGCACGTTGGAGACACTCGACGTCACCAGCAAACTCGGAAATAGGCACAGCCAGGCCCACATTGAGTACCTCTGGGAGAACATATACTACCCCACAGTCCTCTCCGATGCGATCGACCAGTATCCTCCAAACCTGAACGAATCCTTCTTCTCCGTCACCGCCGCTCTGGTAGCACCGGCATCGAGGGGAAATGTCACGCTTCAAACAAACAGCATCCAAGACGGCCCCACTATCAACGTCAACTACCTCGCCGACGAAACGGATCAGAAGATGGCGCTCTACGCATTCAGGAATCTGCGCAAAATCCTCGCGCAGCCAAAGCTGGACGCACATACCATTGGCCCTGATCACGGTGAAGTCGTTCCCGGCGCGGAAATTGATGATGACAAGACACTGCTGGCGTATATCAAGAGCACGCTATTGCCCGTCTGGCATCCGGTCGGCACGTGCCAGATGCTTCCACAGGAAGACGGAGGCGTCGTGGACAGCCGGTTGAAAGTGCACGGAGTAAAGGGGTTAAGGGTTGTGGATGCGAGCATCATGCCTGTGATCCCTGATCAGCATATGCAGGGGCCGGTGTATATGGTCGCGGAGAAGGCGGCTGATATGATCAAGGAGGATTATCTGTGAGGAATTAGTACGTGCAACTCGTAAAGACTGCCTTTGTGTACGATATGTGAACCAAAAAATCTTATTAATATGTCCGCAGAGTCCTTCTACGGCAAGCTAACACTATATTGACCCCATTGTGTCTTTGGCTTCGATGCCATCCTGTTCCCGTTCATACACTTCAAGTCATGTCGTCTTCGGTGTTCTACCCTTTCACCCCTTGATTTAGTTAGCCAGGTGTCGGGATCTCGATGCACATCACAGATCACAGATGAAGAAGCACGATTACGTAATCAATCTTTCCTCCCTAATTAATTAAGGGACCTACTTCTCATGTGACAGTCAGCCTCATTGTTGTAATCCCCTTGCACTACACCTTGAATCTCCTTCATCCACCCCCACCTGAACTGAACTAACCTAGCCTCCCGGCTCAAAGAGGACTTGGGATCTCCAGCCTGTCAAAGTATTTGCTTCCTACTTCAGTCCAGCCAGCGGCGGTGGCACCACCGTCGTCTTTGAACCAGGCTGCGCTGCTGGTTTGACCGCGCAAGATCCAATTGACCCAGTGCGATGCGGCGATGCCGTACTCACCGCCAGTTGGTTCGTTGTAAGTGCCACCGTGTCCAGTTGCCGCCCAATTGCTCATGAAAGCTGGAACCTGCGGCAGAATCCCATAGTCGCGTTTGCCCTATGGAGCAGTTAGTTGGATCAATAGTGAGTTGTATCATCCCATCATTGCTGACGTGCATGTACTGACATTCTGATAGGCAATATCGGATGGACCGCCAAGGAAATAAAAGACCGGTTTGGTGAAGGTGGTCACATTGGTATAAATCATGAGCATACCGCCGGTTATGTTCGCTGCGGTTCCGGGTTCTGGCCAGAGTGGCAAACAATTCAATACAATACAATATGGGGTCGCTATTGATTGATTGACGGTTTAGTAAGCAGAAATTCATATTGATTGATTGACGGACAATACTTGGCAACATATTGCCCAATATTGCCCAATATCGCCAAGCAGTTCGGCATGTGGATTAAAACTATTCAAGTTGCTGCGAATCATCTCTCTAGTAAGTACATGTTGTTGAACATGAAAGAGTGGAGTTCGGCAACAAGATGGCGAAAGTAGTAAGACTGTAAGTACATTAACATAGTTAAGAA